CTGGATTGTTTAATGTTTACAAATAATAATGATGAAGGGTCAATAGTTGTTAGTTTTTACTAAGGGAACCGAATTTGATGGGTTTAATTGGTTTATTTGGTGTATTTATGTTGTTGTATCACTGGTGTGATAATTAAAACATCTTGTTCTTCAGCTATGTTGGACATTCATCCAGTTTATTCTTGAAAATGTTCAGGTTCTTTGCATTTTTCACATCTTGTGGAATTTCATTTCACAAATTAACACATCTTGTGCTAAAAAAAATGTCGGTATATTTTAGTCTTTTAGCTGGAACTTTCAAGTTTTAGGGAACACTTGACTGCCTGGTTTGAATACCTCTTCCTTCTCCCGGTACATACGCAGTGCTAAACCATTTGTTCTTGTCCACATGATCATATTCATGTATAGTATTCATATCTCCTTGCTTTATTCTGTTCTCCAGGGAGATCAAACCAACCTCTTTCAGCTTCTATATCATAGTTTGACCCAGAGAGTCCAGAGGTCCTTGTTATTGCTCTTTTTTAAACTTTCTCTAGGATTTCTTTGTCTTTTACCAGCCAGGAACACAGTATTCAAGGTGGGGCTTGACATAGGTTTCGTTTAATGAAATCCATGCAGTTTTATTTCTGTCGGAGAAAGATGGTTTTGAGTTACATCGCTGAACTAATAGTGCAAGATTCAAATTTTTACCATCGATTCAAAGTCAAAGATTAAGGAAAATTTAAATCTATGATTTAAATTTTAACCGATGGTAGGCACTTCAAATTTATTATATTCGGTCTCTGATCGTATTTTGTATTTCGAACCGGAACTGTAAAAAAAACTTCCCCTTTGCAGATGTCTAATTTTTATTTTTTCCCACTTAACGTCAAAAACACCTCTCCCCCAGCCCCGGGTGTGTAAAATTCTTGAAAAATATAACCCAGGGAATCAGCTGCTTAGGATCCATTTAATTTCTTTAAGATCCACGGACATATTTCGTTGGCCGGGTACGTCAAACCCTATATCATACTTGGGTTTATATAGTTGAAATGATAATAACTGTATTTGTTAAAAAAAAACGGAGAAAATTATATATTGTTAAGGATTCCACAAATTGGAGACAAGTTCGCCTCCAGGCACGGACAGAAGGGAACATGTGGTATTCAATACAGGTAGACAATAACAATGATTGATTGATTCATTCATTCATTCATTGATTAGTTGATTGATAGATTGATTTATTAATTCTCTCATTCGTTTTTCATTTATTATCATCCTTTCATTGATTTATTGAATATGGTTTTATATTTACAATTCGGCGTTAATGATGTTCCAAACCTCACAGAGTAAAAAAATAGGTGTTAGTTGGTCGTGTGCTGTGATCTTTACCTGTCAAAGTAAAACATAACTTGACGTAATTCCAGCTCTTCTATCAATTAAGCATAATCCGCAATATGTATGGAATATTAACCCGGAGTAAAATATATTTCAAAATATTGGTAGAGATCGGGCTGAAAACCCCGGATGTCGGCAAGACTTGAAACTCAAACCCACATTTAGGGGCCTTAAGCCATCTCTCCTAATATGATTTGATTTGATTTAATTTAGTTCTACATTTAAAAAAATATATTTCTTTGGATCTATCAATCTATTTCTATCTATCTATCTATCTATCTATCTATCTATCTATCTATCTATCTATCTATCTATCTATCTATCTATCTATCTATCTATTTTTATCTATCTATCTATCTAGACAAGAAGATATGCTGTTCACCTGTGAAGGACTAACCCCTGACATCATCATTAACCCCCACGCTATCCATCTATATATCTATCTATCTATCTATCTATCTATCTATCTATCTATATATCTATCTATATATCCATCTATATATCTATCCATCTAACTATCTATCTATCTATATATCTATCTATCTATATAGACAAGAAGATATGCTGTTCTCCTGTGAAGGACTAACCCCTGACATCATCATTAACCCCCACGCTATCCCCTCCAGAATGACAATCGGTCACTTGATCGAATGCCTCCAGGGCAAGGTTGGATCTAACAAGGTAATCTTAAGTTCTATTTAAATTGATGAAATGCTTGATTCACAAAGGTACCCTTACGCCCATTATGTGAAAAACAATGAGAAGGATGTTTTTCTGTTTTTCTGAAATGAGATAATTCCTTTTTTCCTTCTTCACTGCTGCATAAATCTCATGTAATTATTTAAACAAAATTTGTTATATATATATATTGACAGGGATAGCTTTTTTAGAAATTTTTTTTATATATATTGACAGGTATAGCTTTTTTTAGAAAACAACTTTTATATATATTGACAGGTATAGCTTTTTTTAGAAAACAACTTTTATATATATTGACAGGTAGAGCTTTTTTTAGAAAACAACTTTTATATATATTGACAGGGATAGCTTTTTACAAAAACAATTTTTATATTTATTGACAGGGATAGCTTTTTTTAGAAAACAATTTTAATATATATTGACAGGGATAGTTTTTTTTAGAAAACAATTTTTATATATATTGACAGGGATAGCTTTTTTAGAAAACAATTTTTATATATATTGATAGGGATAGCTTTTTTAGAAAACAATTTTTATATATATTGACATGGATAGCTTTTTTAAAAAACAATTTTTATATATATTGACAGGGATAGTTTTTTTAGAAAACAATTTTATATATATTGGCAAGGATAGCTTTTTTAAAAAACAATATTATATATATATTGACAGGGATAGCTTTTTTAAAAAGTATTTTTATATATATTGACAGGGATAGCTTTTTTAAAAACTATTTTATTATATATTGACAGGGATAGCTTTTTTAAAAACTATATATATAGAATCAATGTTTGTATCATGAAATTTGCAATAATGAATAATTATCAAAACTTGCCTTATCCTTTTCATTATATTTATAGTTGCATCATCCTTTTTATTATTATTCATAATTGCATCATCTTATTCATTATAACTTATAATTGCATCATCCTATTTATACTTTATAATTGTATCATCCTAGGGAGAGATAGGAGATGCGACTCCCTTCAATGATGCTGTAAACGTACAGAAGATTTCTAAACTGCTCTTAGAGTACGGATATCAGAGCAGAGGCAACGAGGTGAACTATCTATCTTTCTATATCTATATCTATATCTATCTATCTATCTATATCTATCTATATCTATCTATATTTAAATATCTATCTATCTATCTATCTATTTATATATCTAACCATCTATATATCTATCTATCTGTCTTTATCTACCTTCCTGTCTATCTATCTATCTATCTATCTATCTATCTATCTATCTATTTATCTATTTATTTCAGGTGATGTACTCTGGACACACTGGAAGGAAACTCAATACTCAAATATTTCTTGGTCCCACCTACTACCAAAGGTAATTAATAAAGATATTTTTTCTTCATTTTTATGATTCAGTGCTTAGGATCCGGAACCGTTGGATCCGCAAGATTTTGGCTTCCTGGATCCGGATCCGCAAAAATATGCGGATCCACGGATCCGGATCCAAGGATACAAAATTTACTCTCCACCCAAATCTGAACTATTGAAAACAGAGAGATTATAAAAATTTCCTTTCATCTGAATGGTTCATCAAGTTTTAACATAAAAATAAGCGAAAAAAAAATAAGACAAAATTTGAAAATTCTGCTTTGTTAAAAAATTTCAGTAAA